CAAAATTGCCTAAAAAACGCCGGCAATCCGCGAGACATGAGACGGTTTCAGGTCAGCAATAAAATAATAATAATTATAATAGTAATAATAATTATAATTATTATAAATATAATAATTATAATAAATCAATTAATTATTTTGATTTACTAATTACAACTAATTAACTGTAACTAATTAATTGCAGTTGACTATTTGTAGTATTGATAGATTAAGGCTTCATTCACTTTCAAATGACTTCCCAGCCATGTTATGATTGCAATGAGAAGTTGTAGCAATTATTATTATTATTATTATTATTGTTATAGTTATTGTTATTATTATTGTTATTCTTATTGTTATTGCCGTATAAAAGCGCTTAACACCAAGAATCATAACCATTATTTATCTAAGTTCTGGGATTTAAATAACAAAGCAAGCAAAACTGTTTTCCGGATAATACTGTTTTTGTATGTTTGTATGTGTGTGTATGTATGTATGTATGTATGAATGTATGTATGTATGTATGTATGTATGTATGTATGCATGCATGTATGTATGTATGTATGTGTGTATGTATGTATGTATGTTTATATACATACAGTTATGTATGATCATCAAAATGTAGTTTTCTGCTGTGACCTGTACAAGAGTACACACCCATTCGTAATATACATATATCATAGAATGATGATGATAGTGTTGTTGTAGTTGTTGTTGTTGTTGTTGTTGTTGTCGTTGCTGATGGCGATGAGGATGAGAATGATGTTGATTATGATGATGACTATGAAAATTTAAGATAGCTAACAATGTTAAAGCTACCATCAATCAAAAATCATATAATTTAAATATTGCAGCTACTACTACTATTACTACTACCACCACCACCACCACCACCACCACCACCACCACCACCACCACCACTACTACTACTACTACTACTACTACTACTACTACTACTACAACAACTACTAATACTACTACTACTAATAATAATATAACTTCGAGACAACAACACCAGTAACATCATTAAAGACATCAATGACACATTCGCATCATCATAAAAAGCCATATCTTTTTGACTACATGCACATAAACGATTTATATAGCGGACTATATTTCAATGTATGTACACATAAACATACACAGGCATGTATGCATGTGTGTGTGTATGTAAGTATGTATCTATATGTGTGTACGTATGTATGTGTGTGTGCTTATATATGTATGTATGTATTTATATCTGTGTGTATATGTAAAGTTTATCTCTTTCCAACACTCGCCCATCTCTCTTACGTCACGAATGGTGGTCCGCCCGGGGCTATATTGGGAGGGGGTTTTCAGAGATGTACACAATTTTTACTTGTTTGTATGCGCAAACAAACACACAAACAGCTAAACAAACGTGTATGTTAAATACACACGTCTAGGCATCTACACACACATACATATAAATACATACATACATACGCACATACAAACATACGCACATACAAACATACAAACATATAAAAGGTCATACTCGTGTACACGAAACGATGTATGGGTGAGACGAGATAAAATAATATAATGGCCTATGTACAGAACAACGATGGACGAGTTGATAATGATGATGATGATGATGATGATGATGATGATGATGATGATGATGATGAAGATGATGATGAAGAAGACGACGATGATGATGATGTTATGATAATGATTGATCATGATGATGTTATTAATAACAGTTTTTTGGATGAATATATAACGACTAATTGTATTGAATTTCAATGGTTAATACCCATATATCGGAATAATAATAGTAATAATAATAAATTTTACTAATAATAGTAATAATAATAAATTTTCCATTTCCAAGGTGGCTATTTCTTCGACGCCAGCGGTCGAGGGCAATGCGGTTCTCGCCATATCCGACAACATGTTTGTCCACAACAACTCGAAGCACGGTCGCAAGTCGAGACGAGTCGAGTCGGTCGATCCAGGTCGGTAGATCGGTACATCCCCGTGCGTGTGTGTGTGCGTGCGTGTGTGTGTGTGTGCGTGCGTGCGTGTGTATTTTTTTGTTGTATGCGTCTCATTACTTGTTAGTTATAGCATGTTATGTCTGTGTATAAGTTTTACTTACAAGTTTTACATGCAGTTGTTTTAACAATAATGTAAATCTTTTTAACCGTTCTTCACAAAAATGTTCAATTTCTTTTGTTGAATGAAAAAAAATCATTCATTCGTTTCCTCATTCATCCATCCATAATACATCCATCCATTTATCCATCCATCCATTTATCCATCCATTCATCCATCCATTCATTTATCCATCCATTCATCCATCCATTCATTTATCCATCTGCCTATCCATCTATTCATAAGAACACCCCGGTATAACGTAACGGAAGTATGTGGGTATTAAAACATTAAGTGTATTCATTTGTAGGAATCGCAAGCAGTTGCTTTGAACAAGTGCCTAAATTTGTATGTTCGTACGTATGAAACAAACACACAAGCACACACACACACACACACACATACATGTACACACATGCACATACATTCATACAAACACACATACATACATACATACATGCGTCAACAGACCATAGTACAGACTTTCAGAAAGTCATGAAAACATCGCAAAGTCCCATAAGAGACGAAACGTGCACAATACAACGTACACACATACATACATACATATATACATACATACATACGTACATACATACATACATATATACATATATATACATTCAACAATAAAAAAGCGCTGTATATAAATTTCCGTAATAATAATAATAATACATACATACATACATACCTACATACATACAAAATGTTTTCACATAAACACACATGCTAACATTATTACAAAATGCTTAAATCATTATATAAAAATTTTGCAACAACTGACGCTACTACTACTACTACCACTGCTACTACGACTACCACCACCACTACTACTACTACCACTACTACTACTACTACTACTACTACTACAACGTCGCCATTGAGTCCGCATCTGGTGGGGACATCAATATATAAATGATGACATACGACCACAAACAACGACACACCCTTGTGGATTGGTGTAACATGACGATGATGATGGTGAAGATGATGGTGACGATCGTGATGATGACGACGACGACGATGATGACGTCATTAATGATGATCTCCACGCCTCATTTCACTTCCAATACGAACGTCATCATCATTATTATCTTTTTGTCACTCTCCTTGTCATTGTCATATCCATTATGACGTCAACATCGATGCGGGCCAATCAATGAAAGCGGGGGAGGTCACGTGATGATGTTCTCCCATCTGATTGGTCGATCAGATAGCGCATGAACAGCATTTAAATTAGGAACTCTTTGAAATGACGTCATTTTCGTAACATTTTGTTCATCCGTTCAGCTGATATATTTCAATTATCGCTAATTAAAGTTTCGAGTGATTGTATAGACGATGACGATGATGATGAAATGACTACAATATAATGATGATGATGATTTCAAGGTGATGATGATTATGATGACGATGATGAGGTAGAGATGATGATGATGACTTCTCCTAAATAACGAGTCACAGTTTCAATTCATGCAATGTTTAATTAAAACAATACCATCCAATCTCCCTGGAGTATGAAGATGATGGAGAAGAGGAGGAAGAGGAAAAAGAAGATGATGATGATGGTGATACAGTAATGATGATGATGATGATGATGTAAGATGTAAGATGTAGTAGTAAATAAACGATGATGCTAATGAAAACCAGACGAAGTCATTTTCACCCATGTCAGGAGTCTGCGCTATGTAAAGTTAAAAAATTTTTTTTACTTTCGCAGGTTTTTTATGTGGGGCTTCTCCAACCATAAAAGCCATATGCCCGAGTGAGGGGTGGGCTTCAGGGGGTTCCACTGTTATCATCGTCGGTGATAATTTTTTTGAAGGGCTCCAGGCGGTTTTCGGCAGTATGGTAGTTTGGAGTGAGGTGGGTGTATATTTTTGATGATGGTGATGGTGATGGTGATGACGGTGATGATGATGGTGGTGGTTGTGATGATGATGATGATGATGGTGGTGGTGATGATGATGATGGTGATGCACAGCGCCGATGAGAAAGATGATGACAAATATGAACAAGTTGTCCGGTGCTTATAGTTACAAAGTGTTTTTGAATCATTTCAAGGTTAAATTGTGAAAATCTGATGTTTAAATTCGACCCACTTTTAAACACCTGACCCCAACCGCACAGTTCATCACGCCGCACGCCTTGCGAGTGACCACACCAGCCAGGCACATTCCCGGAATGGTTGAGGTCACCCTCACATACAAATCAAAACAATTCTGTAAAAATGCACCCGGACGATTTTCTTATACAAGTCAGTGAAGTAGTCTTGAAATAATTTTTTGTTGTATTAACGCTTGATTTTTTAGGTGCTATACAAAATGAATGTATTCAAATGAATAGATTGGTGAGTAATTTTGAAAAGCCTCCAAATACACTTAACATCTTGCCAGCACTTTCCGAACCAACGATCGACTTCGGCTTCCAGCGTCTGATGAAGCTAGTGCCGCGACAGCCAGGCGACCCGGAGCGACTCTCAAAAGAAGTGATCCTGAAACGAGCGGCAGACATTGCCGAGACAGCCTACCTGCCCCGCTGCTTTCCGGCGGGGGCGAACGGGATAATCCCGAACACGACGCACCACAATCCTCATTTTGCTCACCCGCACTTCGTTCATCATGCTTCAGCCGCTCACCACAGCAGGGTCTCGCCGCTGGCTTCAGCCGGGAATGGAGGCTTCTACGGATCGCCCGCCGATTTACCGCCTGGATTTTCCACGCCAGGGTCGTCCGTTCAAAGCGGAGGCAACCAGTGGGAGGAAAGTCCATGGCCTCACAGATACGCAACCTTCACCTTTTGATCTTCGTTCTGTTGTTGCATTTATTTTAAATGTATGTATTTCTGTTATTATATTCTTTCTACAATGGTGTAGCGTGATTTGTGTCCTGTCTATGTCGATA